TTGGACAGTTTGTCCCCTTCTTCTGCTTCCCGGACTTGGTCTGTACTTCAGGGATGCTCGCCCCCCCCCCCCCATCCTAGTCTGCACACTGGGCATACGGCCAAACAACACTGGTGTTCTTCTCTGAAGCACAAGGGAAGAGAAGCTTTATGATCGTTTAATATCATTCTAGATGAATATAACTATTTGTTTACAGACCTGTACATTAAAAAGGGATGCAATCACACACAACTGTCTTATTAATGAAACCCATTGCGACGATATTCCAGTATTCCACCTGATATTTTCAAGGCATTCCCAGCAAACAGGAATCTGCCCCCCAAATGTTTAATACATACCTTTTTACTTCATGGAAGACACTGTAAAGTTTATAACTTCAAACTGATGCCCCATATTATTCCCAGTGGTGTTCAGCGTTTAGCTGAACCTCACATGCAGCTCTGAGAATTAAAAAACAAAAAAGCTCTGCATGTCATACATAACTAAGGAAACCTAGATGAGGCTCAGCTCTCTTCCCTTAAGGGTGCAAAATAGAGTAACATCCGAAATCCCACGAGTCCCGCGCATATAAAGACGGGGTAGCCACGTGTGGATATATAATACACAAAGAAGGTGGCTTGATGTAACGATGCAGGTTTAAGTACCGCTGAAGTTGAACATCCATAGTGAAGTATGGAGATATGAATACAGTGGGCATTTTTGACAGAATCACAACGCAAGCTAAGCTGCAAAATGGAAATAATGATGTTACTATTCACTTGGACGCCAGCTACATCCACCACTTGCTCTATTTTTCAAAGCTCGGAACCATCAGGCCAATAAAAAAAGTATGTCTGTCAACCAGCCATAATATGACTCTGTAAAAGGACGCGTATAATACTGCAGACTACATGAAAAAATAGGAACTTGAAGAGGCACGCCTCGCTGTTGCAGTTCCCGCCTTTACATAGGGCCCTCCGTGATGCTTTCAGCCCCCCACTGAATGCCGCAGAGACAGACGCCACGTGAGCTTGGCCGAGCTCATGCTGGGACCCACGGCTCAGTTCCAACAACCGGATCGTCCGCGGTGACACCACAAGGGATAAAAACGAGATCGAGTGCCTGATGGGGGGGATTGGAGGGGGGTCTGCCATCCGGAGACGATTCACAGCCATGTGGCAGCTTTTCGCATTCCATACACCCCCCCCCAACACACACACACTCCCTGCCTCTCCCCCACCCCCCCCCCCGTCTGTGGGGGCCGTCAGGGAGGCTGTTTTGCGTTTGCCCCTAATTACAGACCCGTGGCCTTGGTATAGATTTTCCCATTACCGAAACCGTCGGAGAGCATTTATTTCCAAAGACCCCTTCTGCTTCGCCTCCGCTCTGCACATGGGAAAGAAAAAAAACCCCAGAAATTTCTGAAGAGGAAATTCGGGGTCGGCCTCTTATTCCTCAGCGAATGACAGCAGCAAGATGACACCTCCCAGCCGTGACAGCGACACGTCGGGGGCCCTGGGTACTGCCCATTCTGATTTGTAAATAATTAATTTCCCTTCAACGAGACAGACAACATAAAATATTCAAAAGCTAATGTGGACAAATAAAACTTTACTTAAATTTCTGTCACTGAGGACTAACATTGAATAATGTATATGTCTGGGGGGGTCCAGGGGGGGGCTCTGCTAAGGGCAGCAGGCCATGACTCATAATGAGGGAAAGAGTGCAACAGTAATTATAGGAGACCCTGGGATCCAGAAGGAGAAGAAAAATTCTCCTTTTTATTCTCAGCTTGTCCCAGGTACCAATTTTTTATAGGAGAGAAAGTCAATGTTGGATGTGCAGCACTGGAAAGTCTGCTCCCAGATTCCGACACCAGTCAACAGTCAAGTAAAATTAATTCTGGACAGTCTTTTAAATTTCTTTTCTTAATAAAAGTTCACTTCCATGCCATACAATAATCGGTAACACTTTACTTGAAGCAGTCTACATAAGGGTGACATGTAACCGTCATAAGACCATAAGTCCAAAAACCGAATGACACATTATGACAACAGTCATAAACATCAATAATGTGTCATTAATGTGCATGACATGTGTCATGTCATTCTTATGACGGTTACATGTCCCCCTTATGTAGACTGCTTCAAGTAAAGTGTTGCCCAATAATCCATCCATCCAGGGATGCGTGTGTAAGGTGGGGGGGCTCCACCCAAGGGGGCGTAGAACACAAGGCAGAGGTTAGAGATACAATAGAGATACCAGGAAGCATGGATGTCAGAGTAGGAGGAGAAAACCCAGAAAACCTGCAAGACACGGGGGGAGTACACACACACACACACACACACACACACACACAAACTCCACACACACACACACACACACTCCCCACACACACACGCAAACTCCAGACACACACACACACACACAAACTCCACACACACACACACGCAAACTCCACACACAGACACACACAAACTCCACACACACACAAACTCCAGACACACACACAAACTCCACACACACGCAAACTCCACACACACACAAACTCCACACACACACACGCAAACGCCACACACACACACGCAAACTCCACACACACACACGCAAACTCCACACACACACACACAAACTCCACACACGCACACACATGTAGGGTAAACATATCCTTATGGGGACCGCTCATTCATTTTCATGGGAAAAATGCTAACGCTAACTATGACAACCCTAACCCCCACCCTGCCCTAACCATAACCATAAGTAACCTGACAATATACAAGAGTTTTTGCATTTTTAATTTTTTCATAGCAGTCACCGATTTTTATAAAATAGAGTTTTCCCTTGTGGGGACAGGAAAATGGATATTTATCACATTATGGGGACATTATGTCTCCATAAGGATAGGCAAACCCGCTCGCACGCACACACACACACGCAAACTCCGCACACACACACACACACACACACACACACACAGAGTGGAGGTGGGATTCAAAGCCCAGGACCTGGAGGCGTCAGACAACGGCTAAACCCAATGTTCCTCCATATTTACTGTGCATTCAGTCTTAAAGTAAACTGAGGCTTACACTGGCACGCCTCAGAGGGAATAACAGAGGAAAAACATTCTATCCGCACAACCTACTCCAAACATTCGGGGAAAAGCTAATTGCGGTAAACAGCCAATGAAAATGAAAACTGAATTCCTTCTCCTTTGTTTTGTTAGTTCAGGTGCTTAATATTATGTATACCGAACACCCATTAACATGAAAAGGCCTCTCTCAGTGACTGATTTAAAAGCGGTTCACTGTGTTTTTAATATAAATGCACCTTTCCCATTAAGCAGGTATCTTCTTCAGGTATGTAGTTTACAGTAAATATTCCACAATGAAGAATAAGGAGCTGATGAAGCAGGTTGGAAGGAAAGTGGTTTAGGACCACAAATCAGAGAACGACTGGTACGTGGATTATTAAGAAAGAAAATTATTAAGTGTTACTCATATCGGGCTGTTCATTCCAACTGGGGAGCCACTCAAGACAGCATATAGCTAGAGATGAGGGCTGCTCCATTATGGCACAAATTATAATCACAATTATTTCAGTCAATACTTCATCATGAAACAAAATGCGGCACAATGATTGTTTTATCTCAATTGTTTTGTTTTGATAATTGTTGGAAGCTAAAATCGTAATTGAATTTAAAATTCGATTATCTGCCCAGCCGATATTAGAGATGCTTCTCTAAAGACAACAGTGACTTTGAAAGAACCACAGAGACAAGCGAACTTTTCCAATATTCTGGCTACTGCACTAAGTTACCCAGAGTGGTAGGTTGACAAGAAAGGGGTGTCATTAACCTACATAAGTGCTGTGGGATTGAATGAGACAAAACATTCCGTAGTCCAGCATAACATCCAATCTGCACCGAATGAGTCAGGCAGGGTTTGTGGCTGCATCTCCTATGTGAAGACTCCAGAACATTGTCCATATTTGTAGGTGGTAAATAGACAGAGGCAAACTCACCAAAGACAGCAACAATATGGCTTAACAGATGGGTAATGGACGTCCTTGAAGTCCGGTGAAAGACTTCCCAAGAATAGGCAACAATATTCACTCAAACGAGGTGAATCACTCTTTTCTTCTTTTGTTCCTGCTCACATTTTTTTTTTGTTTTCATATACAACAGATCTCTGTTTGAGCACTAAATATACACACATGCTGTACAATAGTTTTCCTGATTGTTTTTTAGAGGTTTTTGCCCAATGGTCTATGTACTGTAATGAAATGATTCAAAACGATATTCATTGCTTCTAAATGCAAATTTTAAAAACCAAATTTTTGAGGAACGGTGTGCGAAATTTCAGTACATGAGAAGGACAGGTAACATGAAGTTGCCCTTAAAACCGTATTTTAAACTATCCCTTGTTGGTTGAACAACTTATTTTAGTTCAGGGCAACTTAGCAATATAGACCGATCACCGACATTACAGCAGTTAGTAGGTGTAGCGATATATATTGGAATCTTCTGATACGGTAAAAGGCTGCGAGATACAGTAACTTCTCACTATTATGAAACGATTAAATTGTATCGTACAGTTCGATGATGCCATTATTACATGCCGTTTTTCGGTCATCCTATTATTGCAATCCCATTTGAAGATTAAAGTCTACTGTGCATTCGATATAGAAAAGTTGAACCAGAATACCCAATTGCATATAAAAACGAAACACAATAACGAAGTTACAACACACCGACCCTCTAGCGTTGACAAATAGTAGTGAATATTAACAACGCTATCCACCTGTTACAACAGATTACAGGACAAGTGAAAGGCCGGGTTGAACACTACAACTTTCAAAAATATCTTCAGACTTTCTCAGTATCTAGGACGAAGGACATTTAAACATAAAAATGACAGCGATTTTAGATATAGCCCTTTAAAGTGTATAGATCAAGGCTATAAAGCGGCATTGTGGAAGACAGGGAATCCCCAGAACACGTAAAAAACAGGTAAATAACTTACCTTTGCATAGGTGCCAATTACCATAGAGCTGGGATTGTGCGATTGTCTTCTGGCTTTCACTGAGCCGGCGATCTATTGCTCCAGCTGAGTTTAGTGCTGTAAGAAGTGCGGTTCGTATTCAGCGTCGCTGCGGGAAGAGTCGCGGCTTTCAGAAACTAACGATGATTGGACGATAAAAACACCCCGCACGCATCTTTAAGCGTTATCCTCCTGGAAATTTGCTCTATAGAGTGCAGATCTTAGCGGCCGACCGCGCGATCGCGACGGCGGCCTGAAGACGCGACGGAAACTTTGACGATCCGCGAGTAGATAACGCCGTGACGCTCCGGCGTTTCAGCGTTTGCTTCCTACATCCCATTAAGTCCTCGGGGGAAACTGATGATGCTGATCGCCTCCAGGCAACCGGCGCAGTAGCAGTTTCAATAGGTTTCGGAGAAGACTTGAAATACCGACTTACTGTAACAGACCACCGATTTAAAAAAGACTTTTAGATACGAGAATACGATCATATAAAAATAAACGCGTTCCGCATGAGAGAAATGGCAGAGTAGGCAGTACCGATTGTCTGCATTGCTGTGTAAATGAGGCCAGTTTAAAAAGAGAGGCTGCCGGCACATGTCCTGGACCTGACTGGAAGCCCACACAGTGTCAGTGAATCAGCAAAGCATCTTCAGTTATATGTGCGTCTCCCGCAGCTCAGTAATGCGCGTCTTCGGACACCGTGAAGTGCGCCGGTGGGTGCTGGAGCGCGCGCAGGTGCGCCTCAGTGTAAAACCACAAGGACTCCCTTCACTGTACGCGGTAATTACGGAGTGTTTCCTTGATGTCTTAAATAATGTTATTACTGGATCAGGAATAAAAGGGGGACACATTACAAGTGTATTTCAGTACAGTGTTTTTTTTTTTTAAATAAAATACTTATACATAGACTATTATTAAAAATGACGGGGATCACATTAGTAACCCTTACTTCTCGACCAATTAAGCAGGTACTTGAGAAACATTTATTTTCGATAGCAAATCAATTTTACGTCACGTTTCATTAATTGGAGGCTCATTTAAAGTGTCTGAAGAGGATGGAAATGTTAATCGGTATTCTTAATGTTAAATATCAAGAGGAAAATACCTCTGATGTGAGATAAGTGAAACCATTATCCTGAAATAAAAACGTATGATAGTGCTGCTGACTATGGGCGTGGGAACGGGCTGCGTCTTGGTAGTTTAATTCATTGTGAATTTAAGATTTTTCTGCATTTACTGTGGTCAGGAATTCCTCTTAGGATCGTACCTTTCCTGTGTAGGTTCACGCACCTCTCTACAAATGAGCGCTCCGTAAAATAAATTTAAAAATATCCTGCAAAACACAAGCAATACAGATTTGCATCTTCGCTGCCTGTGCGGCTCGCACTGCATGTATTAAAGCTGTGGTGCGATCGTGTCGAGGCATGAGGTTCTGACTCATATCCTGCACGCACCTTCGCACTTTTTCCCTCGTGATGACAATGTCTCTTACATCATGGACCCCATTTAGTACTGGCGCCAGGTTGATTCAGTAGGGATGAGGTAATATCCAGTGGGGTTCCGCTCCACATTACGAATGCCAGTAATGAGAATCGCACTTTATATTTAATAAAGCTATAGGGACTTTTATTTCTTTCCACATATCACAAGAACTATCATTCTCATGCATTAATTACTTTGCATTAAAATCCAGAAGCATCTTTGGGGAATATTTGTCTGATCTTCGGTTAATTTGGGATTATGAATGACGGTCCGTCTAACTTCTGCACGGCCCCGGCTCAGGTGTCGCGGGTAAACAAACCAAACGGCGTTTTAAAGCAGCCACATTTCTATGGCCGCCAGGACGTGGCATTTCACATGGGTTTTACGCCTGAGGGGGAATGAGTCGAACCACAATTATTTAACGCTGCGTGATTTCAATATTTTTCTGCATGGCTGATTGCAGTTAGTAGGGGATTTTAATCACATTCAGATTTTAGTACATGAGGTTAAATAATATTTTTGTTGATGTGGTCAAGTAAATAATTCAGCCGAGTAGCCTATTTTATATATATATATGTGTGTGTGTTTTGCATATACGTATTTATTTGCATACTCACACCATACCGTATAAACAATATTTGATGCATCGCAGCATCTGTACGTATAGCTGAAGGCAATGTCATCTTTGTTATGACTTCAGAGACGTTGCCTTGCTTTCTAAAAGACAGTTGCACAGAATGAAAAGGCTAAATGTTCCTTAGGAAAAAAAATAGTTCTTGTATATAATTTATGTTTAGTTGTGCAAATTGACTTCAAAGTCTTAAATATTTGCATGTTTTACATACTGACGTGTACAAAAATCGAAGAAGGAATAACAAGGAGCGCTCAATATTTACGCATACAAAGATAAAAAATTTTACGACGTTGACGGGACTCAACACTTAATCAGTATTACATCCAACATAAGAGATAATATCCTCCCTTACTTGAGTAAAGCGCCCTCTACTGGACTGGGGGAGGAAAGCCTCCTTCCCCGTTGACATACATTTTACTATTTCCAGCTTCATGTCATTATATAATTTACAGTTTATGTTTAAGTTTAAATATTTTAACTGGCTTTCTTGCGATAATATCAACAAGTAAACTGTAACATGTAGAGAGCATCTAGAGAATTACGTAGTGAACAAGCAGAAAAAATTTGTGCAACAAGTGTTACATCACTAACTTTTGCAAAGAAGTGTGCACATTCTGGTTCTGCTCTTTTGATGAGATTGCAGCTGAAACAGAAATTTACGGCAAGATTTTAACCTCAAGCTTTTTTTCATGGCACTGCTTTTAAGAGGAATGGAAATTCCATTATGGTCTTCACCTCCTCATTTCCATAAATAACACAAAACAATATTTTTTGTTAAACCACAACAACATAGATGGCTAGGCATACTTTACAATATATCCAGATAGAAATGCTGCATTATCTATTAAAGGTTCCCTGAAGAAGGGAAAAACTGCATCACCACACTATCCAAAATAACAAAATATTGCCCTGTGACCCTGACAAGGATAGGCGGTGAGAAAATGAATTGACTGATGGATGGACAATATTATATAATAATATTTATTTTTTCAAATCAAAGGATAATGTATGTAAATTTCCCACATGTAACATTGTATTTTGTTTATATACACACACATGCACCCACACACACACACGCACACACATGTAGGGTATACATATTCTTATGGGGACCGCTCACACGCACCCACACACACACACACACACACACACACACACACACACACACACACNACACACACACACACACACACACACACACACACACACACACACACAATCTTGTTTAAAGAATAAGTGTACTCACCAGCCCTCCAGACTGATCTCCTTACAATGCAGAAATGCCCTTTCTCTTCACCAGATCATTTCTTCCCGGAGGATGTTTGCTGTAGTGCACTTCTGATAAGAGGCTTGGTCTTTGATAATGTCATGTTCACGATAACCGAGTCAGTTCAACCTCATCTAATAACTTCGGAGGCTTTCAGCAGCAGCCGTCTTGTCCGGCAGAGTTGTCAGCGAAGAGATCCCAAGGTCTGGATCATCGTTAAGGTCAGTCAACGTGTAGGTGTTGATCGGACGTTTCAGGCTAGCGTGTGAATGCAGAACAGTTTCTGGCCAGAAGGTTAACTGAATCACGTGACATGGGGCCAAGCAGGGAATGGGATCATTATTTTGAGGAATTAGTTTAGTTTCCAAGGGTAACAGGCATTGGGTGGGGGGTAGGACTGGTAGCACCTAACTAGCTGCAGTTTGTGTCATGGATAGAAAACAAAAGAAAACTGACAGCAAGGGGTCAGGAAAACTTCTACAGGGCTTAGGTCCAAGCTAAGCTAAGATATTGCTGCATCATCATATTTAAGTTAAAAGTCAACATAATGCTGTCTTGACTAAAATACAGCAATCACGCAACCCGCTCAAACCAAACCCAGCAGTGCTGCATGGGTACATTTCAGTCATTTTTAATATTTGCAAGGTTCTCCCCACGACCCTGAATAGAATGAGTGGTTACTGAAAATGGATGGATGGATTTGCAAGATTAAACTGTGTTTGTGTGAAACATGGCGCTTCTCCAATGGCATTTAGGAACCAACCCATACCACCAAGAGAGACTAGTTAAAGCACGGTTTGATTTTCCACTACAGAAGGATCGGCTCGATGTACTCCATGCTAATTTCTGTTAGCAAGTCTGTGCGAATCACCATGTTCTGTTAGCATCAAACGGTAATGGAATTGTGGTGTTTTGTGTGTGAATAAAATATACATTTTTTTCTCAGAATGTGTGGTCATGTGGTGTGCGAAAATGTTTCGTATGAGCCATACGTGGTAATGCATTTAGAAAAAAAGGTTATCCTAACAAGCACTACTAGTCACACTTCAGCCATTGTGGATAGGTTTTGGATAGGTTTTAGATAGGTTTGGCACCTAGCTGCATCATTTGCTCTTTCCGCAGTAAAAATGACGTTAAATTGGGTACACATGTAGAAAGTAAGTTTGAGAACCATACATTATAGCAGAACCACAGGTCTGAAGAAGAGTAGAGAATAGACAAAGCTACCAATCAGAGTAAACGCAAACTTAATTTTATGGCTTACACACTTTTCAGGAATCAAAAAATGTATTGTCTTGGCTTGTGTGTGTGCCCCATCTTGGGTTATTCCCTGATTTGCACCTGTAGCCTCCGGGATAAGCTCCTCCGCAACTCTGCATAGGTCAAGCGGTTTCAGAAACTGGATGGATGGATGGTTATTGTCTTGGTACTTGGATCAGGAATCATTTAATAGGGGAAAAAAGAAATAAAGAAATGCTAATAAAATTGATAAAAAAAATACCAACCAGCTTAGTGTTAAATCAAAACCTCAAGTCTTTCAAATCCCTCTCTTCATAAATTAAACCAGTAGCAAATACATTTCTAACGCTTAATGGGACTGGAATAACACAAGAACAAATGCACTGAAACAAACATTCTATAACATTCATGAGCATTTTTTAAAGCTGGCTAGAACATTTATCTTCTCCCTCGCTCTGCTGTGCTCTCCCTTTTGGTATATGCGATGCTATCCTGTTAGAATAATTGATACAAACTCTGGCCTGTCACTAAAAATAAAGTTACCCAAAAATACATGGACGATGCAATTCTGACCATTCAATTCTGAACCAAAAGTGTTTGGAAATCTCACCACAATAAGAAGATTAATGTGGACGCAAATGAGAGTCAAAAGAATGTGAAAATCTAACAACAGTGAGGAGAATATCTGTCTGTCTGTGATGTATTAAGCCAAGCTGTTTTCAGTTAGGTGTTATTTAGAATAAACTTCTTGGTCTTCTTGGATCAATTAGTCTTTCGATGTCACTGAGCCACTCCTGACTGTGACAGATCCCACCTTTGCTGCTATATGTCTTCAGATGGGTCCTTCTGTCCCCTGGGATCACTGAATCATGTTCAGGGATCTTTACTGACTCAGCAATGGCATAACTCTAGCCCCTGTCTAATCATGGACCATCTGTCAGGCATGACAAATGTGGAAGACCTGACCCCTAATGAATTACGTTTGTCGGGGGCAAATCAACATTTTCTATCTGGGCCATCTGACATCCCCATAGATTATTACAGCTGACCTCACCAAAGGTGAGACCATTTTTAGCTTCCTT